GACAGATTAAAGACTCAGCTGGGGTGCAGTTCAATAACAGAAGACTTCTAGGCAAGTGTGAGGCCCTGGGCTCAAGCTCTAGCACTATAGGAAAAAACAAAAACAAACAAACAACAAAAAACAAGAATTCATGTGGATTTTTTTCTGCAATAGTTTTTAACATACTGGGGTTGTCCTTCAGACCTGACTATTTAAACAAACCAATAAAACTACTTGGAGGCAAAATGAAAATTTAAAAACAATCATTGACAGGAGTTAAACAGTCAAAGCTGCAGGCTGCCTGGGTGCCCTGGTAATTCCCTTTTCAGCTGAGTGATTTGGACAAGTTATTTCATTCCTCTGGACCTAGGCTTCCTCAACTGTCTATTAGCCCTTGCTTTCACACCAGTTTTGGAGCATTTGGTAAGGTTATTTGACAAGTTTGACAACTGCAGTGTAATGCCTCCTGTGGGGAGACTCCTTATGCTAATTGACCGCTGTCTGAAAAACTAAGACCTACCTAGTGTGTAACTTTCAATTTTGTGACTAAAAGTCACATTGCCAAATTACATTGAATACATGTATCAGTTGCTCAGGGAAAATACTCCTGTAATTTTGCAGAAAAGTGACAGGTTTATGTTAATCATACTTCCTGTACCCAGTCCTGTATTTTTTATTTGCAGTCCTTTAGATCAATCCCGAGGAGAATTTATTTCTAAATTCTTAAGTTCTGCAAGGTGGAAGTTTTCAGAGGGAAGCTGGGTGGTGTGGCGCAAGCACTGGGAGGCAGAGGCAAGCGGATCTCTGTGAGTTAGAAGTCAGCCTGGTCTACAGAGCGAGTTCCAGGACAGCATAGGCTCTATGGTGAGACCCGGTCTTTGTGATGAATGCATATATTATATGCAGTATGTATTTTAAAGAAGAAACATTAAGATAACTAACACAAAGATTTTTGTTATTAGAAAAGCATTATATTCTTAGATTACTTATTTAAAAACCAGTAATTTAAACTTTGTATCTTTCTTTTGAGACAAGGTCTCACTGTCTGGACCAGAATTCCAAATGTAATATGAGGTGGTCTTTAATACTAATCATCCGAAGGGCCGAGTGCTGGAATTATAGGCCTGTGCCACCACACCTTGTTGAACATTAGTAATTTACATTATTAATAAATTTGAACTAATTTATCATTGAATAAATTAATTTTATATTTATCCATACTATTTAAAACAAAGCAAAGAACTTGATAAATCCCTCCAATATTAAACACTAAATTATCTTATTTTTTGTTTTTTTTGAGACAGGGTTCTCTGTCTAGCCCTAGATGTACTAGAACTCACTCAGTAGATCAGGCTGGCCTCAAACTCACAGGGAGCTGTCTGCTTCTGCCTGCTGAGCACTGGGATTAAAGGCATGTCCCACCATCACCCAGCCCTTTGAGGTAGGGTCTCTTATGTGGCCCTGATTGACCTAGAAGTTTCCTGTAGACTAGGTTGACCTTCTTGAACTCACAAAGATCAGCATAGCTCTGCCTCTCAATTTCTGGGATTAAAGATGTGTGCCATCGTGCACAGCTTATTATATTCATCTCATATTGGACATTTTAAACTTCTTTGGCAGGTGGGTAGGAATAAGGACTCAGTGTATGGCCAAGGCCATATCCTCCTGTCTCATACTCTCAAGCCTGGGTACATGCCATTAGCCCAGGCTCAATTTTGGCATATCACATGAATCTGAGCAGAGAGACTGCCCAGCCTGGGGGAGTCTGCAATGCCTTTGCAGATATTATTTTAAGTTATGTTTTTCAGGGCCATGTGGAACTGGGGACAGAGCACTCATTTTGGAGTGGCAGATCTCAACTCAAAGTCTTCACCTATTCTGAAAAAATCTTGTGAAGCCAGGTGAGAGACTGTAATCTCAGCATCGATGAAGCTGAGGGAGGCAGGACAGTGAGTTCAAGGACAGCATAGATACTCAGCAAGACCCTTTCTCAAAATAAACAAACGAACAAAAACCATTAAGAACCAAAACATCAGGCAGAGTGGCTCCCTCGTGCCTGTAAGCCCAGGATTTGGGAGTTGGATGCAAAAGTCCAGCCTGGGTTACTTAGGGAATAGACCTGGCTGAGTGTGGTGGTGTATGCCTTTAATCCCAGCACCTGGGAGGAAGTGGGAGGCAGATCTCTGAATTGCAGGCCAGCCTGGTCTACAGAGCAAGTTCAAGGACAGCCAGGGCCACACAGAGAAACCCTGTCTTGAAAAACAAACAAACAAACAAAAACACATTTAAAAAAAAACATAGTAAGCAGACTTTGTCTCTTTAAAAAAAAAAGAACACACTAGAAAAAAAAGTTTGTGTCTTAGTGGCTTGGCAGGTAAAGGTGAATGCTCTCAATTGACCAACTCCTTCCTATTGGTTGCCCCCTGACATCCACACAGGAACTGTGGCAAGCACCTGACCCACCCACCAAATAAATAAAGTCATGCAAGCAGGACAAGCCTGAAGTCCTCTAAGCTTGTTTTTCACCCAGAAAGGACAGGGAAATGGTTAGTCCCTCTGGAGAGCTTTTGTGGTGATTAAACAATGAAAATGGGACTGGGGATACAGTTCAATTTGCAAAGGCTGATTTACTACGCTCAAAGTTCTGGGTTCAATCCCCAGCATTAGGTGGCGGGGGGGGGGGGGGGCATTATAGAGGCAGTGGCACTCCTGGTTTGTCTTGATTGGTGCACTTCACCCTTCAAAGAAGCTACTTTTCTTTTTTTTGGGGGGGGGGGAAGGGGTCAGTGTTTTCATGACTGTAGCCCTGTGTAGCCCTGGCTGTCCTGGAACTTGCTCTGTAGATTAGGCTGCCCAAAATGCACCTGCTTCTGCCTCCCCAGAGCTAGGATTAAAGGTGTGAGTCACCACCACCCTGATAAAGAAGTTACATTTTGCAGCCAGTGGAGGTTATGCCAAAGAACAACTGGTCAAACACAGAGATTAAGTGATTGTGGAGTATCCATCCCCCAAGGGCATCTGTAAAAGTGCTACAGCCAAGGCTCAGGGAACACTGTGGGAGGAGGGGAGGAGAGACTGTAAGAGCTGGAGGACCAGGAGAAGGGCTGTAAGGATGTGTTCTGGATCCTGCAGAGGAACTGCACTCTCCAGCTCTCAGAAGCTGCTCAACAGCACACTAGCAGACATCAGCATGGGGTGGGGGCTCACAATCATCCCCAACCCCACAAGTTAAGAAGTTACAGGAAATTCATGGCTGCTGAAAGAGGGGGCGTGAGTTCCGGTAGGGACAAGCTCCCCCCACCCCCTTAGGATGCCCTGGACAACACTAATCGGCTTTCCACGTACCATATTTATGTAGTTATGCATATGTGCCATCTATTATATATGTTATAGAAGATGCTTGCACTTGAGAGGGGGTGGGGTGGGGACACAGGAGGAGTTGAAGGGGAGGGGTGGGTGTGGCCATAAGGCATTGTACTTATTTATGTATGAAATTCTAAAATTAAATAAAAAGGAAAAGAATAAAAAAGGAAATAAAACACCTTTCCTTGGTCATATGTAAAAGTCAATCCTTTCCCTTACTCCTTTAAACCACTGATATCTTGTAAAAGTGACTAATTTCGTTTTCACTTCCTTTCATTCACAGATTTCATTAGAGCCACAGTCCAGTGACCTGCAGGGTCACAGCCTGGCCAGGGCACACCCTCCCCAGAGTGGTACCTTATCTCTGCGAGCAGGGAAGCAGGAAACTGAGCCGAGCTTTCCTGTGGCTCACTTGTTCTTGCCTGTCTTGGCTTTCCAGGGTGTGATAGTTACCTCTCTGCTCTCCTCTGCAGGGGCAGGCTCACCCAGCCTGAGCGGGATCGCTCTTCAGTGTGTTTCAACAGTGTGCGTGAACAGGACACTCGAGTCAGTACTCAGCAGCCACAGATTTCATTGTAGGTGTTTACTTTAAAATCCTCCAATAAATCTGAACAACTAGTTTGGTGTTTTGCTTGAGTACTACTCATACCAACTTAGAAGAACTGATTAAAAAGGCAAGGTTTGACACCAACACTAACAAGAGGGTTTGCTTAGCCCACTGACTGGAATGGCTTGGACTTGAAAAGCAACAAGACTAGTTTTATGTGATTTGCCTGGAATGGCTGACAGAGACTAACTAATTATTCCCTAGCAATTAATTGTTTCGTTTCAGTGTTGAAGAACTTGAGATAAATCTTCGAATCCGTTAAGTATATCCGTACTGACTTGTGGCCCCCATTATGGATGCCAGTGCTTTTGAATGTGGCTGAGATATGTACATCAGCAATCTTAAAAACTGAGGCCAGTGACACAGCTCAGTGGGGAAAGGCACCAGTGTCAAGCCTGATGTGACAGCCCAAGTTTGACCCCTGGGATCCACAAGGTAGAGGAGAGAACTGCCTCCCACAGGTTGTCTTCTGACATCCATCCTCACCCAAATAAAATGCAATAAAATTCTTTAGTAGGTAAAGATTGCATATTGAACAGAATCTCAAATGCCATCTTGCACAAAAGTAGGAAACTTAAAAACAAAACTCTTCAAGTTCTTAATAAAACTCTGAAGGACACTAAGAGACATTCAGAAAGCTTCTTCCAGTCAGCAGGCTCTGCTTAAATTGCTCTCCTCCCCAAACACCTATCTACTCTTCTATTATCTGTCTGTTTGTCGACTTACCTAGCTATCATCTATCTTTCTACCTATCATCTATCTATCTATCTATCTATCTATCTATCTATCTATCTATCTCTATTTCTCTGTTTTTTTGTTTTTTTGGTTTTTTTTTTGTTTGGTTGGTTTTGTTTTTGTTTTGTTTTGTTTTGTTTTGTTTTTTTGAGACAGGGTGTCTCTACATAGCCCTGACTGTTCTGGTATTCACTATGTCAACCAGGCTGGCCTTGAACTCACAGAAATCCTCCTGCCTCTGCCTGGGATTACCATTCTCTAACACTCAAATGAGGATGATATTTCTGTCTTCATTAGGCAGAACCCAGTCACAAACCTGTTATCATTTGCTGTGCATCGTAGGGTTCCATGTAGCCGTCATTTTCACCCACTCTCTCTGCGTCCCTTTGACCTTTTGTCCGTTTGGCATCATACGGGTCAGCGTAGTCTTCTAAAATGATGACCTGTTCAATAAGAAAAGACAGTTGCTAAGGATTCCCAGATATGAAAATGGCAACAGCATCAAAACAGTTACTGAAATCTCCTACAGGTCCAAGGAGTCAAAATCTCTCATTAGTTTTGAAAGCTTTTGTACTTGATCATATAGCTGCGTTAGACAAACTTTTTTTTTTGTACTTGATTTGTGACAATTTACCTAAACTCTTGTTTGTGGGTTAGAGGGTGGCAGGGTGGGTAGTGGGAAGTGGAGGTTATCTGTGGCTTCAGTGCGGGGTGGGGGGAGAATTGTTCTACCACGTGGTGACAGCTCTGAGTCTCCTATCATCTAAGAAACATAGTCCAGTGACCCAGTCACCTCCAGCACTGAGTTGGGTCAAAATGAATCCAAGGCCTCCTTCCTGGCCTCATGGAATTTTTTAAGTTCCAAAGAGACAGGCTTCTCAGGTTAGCACTGAACAGTTCTGCAGACGTTTTTGGGTTCCGTAATTCACAGGGATAGTGAGTGATTCAGCAGCTACTACAAAACAGAATTTTGATAGTATCTGTGTCCAAGAGCATCTATCACTCCAAAGCCACAGTGTGTGTGGTGAAGCTCTGAACATAGCAGTTCTGTTCTGTAGTGGCTGGGTGACACTACCGGGGGCCAGGACCCTTCTCAGGGACGAGGCCAGAGTCCTGCTCCATACTCTCTGGCGGAATGTTCTCTAGAAAGCTCACAAAGTTCTACAGGGGCACGAGGAAAGAATTCAGACAGTCAAGGGAGAAGTGAAGAGAATGGAATGGACTGGAAGAATCCGATGCTTTGGAGAAGACAGCCTAAGAAATGTCAGCCATCCAAATCCAAAAGTGACACCCACAACAGGGAACTGTGATGGCCACTCACCCCATCCTGCTGTCCTTGACACCTGCTCCACACGCTGTGACTCAGATACAGCAAGGAAGACAGGATGTGGCACTCAGTCCTTGCCCAAAAGTGAGGCACACCACCCAGATATATGTGAGATGCTCCCACAGCCATCTTTCCATGGCTCTTCTCAGTGCCTGGCCAGGACAGGCACACTAAACATCTCTTTAAACTCTTGAATGGAGCAGTGAACAGAGCCACCCAATATATGTCATCTCACATATGCCACACATTTCTGGCAGTCTAGGTAGGCAGCCTGCTGAAAGCCAAGAGGAAATCAACGCCCCTCACCAGGAAGGGGTTGCATGGGCTGAAACCTAAAATCTGGGTGGGAGCTCTTCTCTCTCCACTGCTCACAGGGCAGAAAGCCCAGCTCTGCCCTGCAAGGATGAAGAGGAGACTCACAGGTCCACTCCTCCCCTTACCTTTCCCACACTGGACAGCACCCACAAGCCCTCTGGTGACCAAGATGCAGGAAACACCTTCTTCTCTCCTGATCTGCAATTTCCTTAAGGGCATTTCCTTGCTGTGGACCTTCCCCCCACCTCACCCCCCCCCCGTGCCCATGGCCCTCATTCTATAGCACAGCAAACATCCACAGAATGAATGGAAGGCCTGTCATCTTGGTGATGCTGGAACTCTGAGAGGCTTGGGGGATGGGGAAGCCACACTTCACAGTTTACAGGTGACTTTTGCTCTATATGCTCAAGGGGCGTAAGCCATGCTTAGGTCTAGCTTTGGTAGACCCCTGGATGACAAACTTGAAAACAACCAAAGTATACCACACCCATAAAAGGCCAATTTCTTTCCCTTCCCTTTAACTGCTCTTCTAAACCACGGAACAAACAAAACAAAACAAAACAAAACAAAACCAAAAAAAAAAAAAACAAAACAAAAACAAAACAAAACAAAACAAAACAAAAACCCAAACAGAACAAACATTGCGGCCAAGGTCTCAAAGCCAGGGCAAGGGTATTTCCAGGAGAAAATAAATCTAATGATTTTTAAATAGTCACTTGGGAGTCAGAATGGACTCAGGGGAGGCCCTTAGAAAACATCTTCTACTGATCTTACGCATAAGGCATAATGGGGTTCAGCAGGCTCCCGTGTGCTCCCCACCCCACCCCAGCGCGCACTGAGAGGTGGGTAGAGATGCTGGATTCTACCGTGTCTTGCTGTTTCATAATCTTGGCCTTGTCCAGCTCGGGGCCCAGGGAGGACGGTGAAGAGGATGCAGAGGAAGAGGAGCTGCTGGTGCTGCTGCCGCCACCCGGGTAGCCGCTCTTGCCGTTCTTCTCCTGCGTGTCCACCTTGATGAGCCTGCTAATGTAGGTGCTGCAGCCCGCGCTCTTGGCCACCGCGCCCCGGTGGGGCTCCTCCTCAGTGGTGGCAGACGTGGAGGTGGCGGTGACCCTGGAGTTCTTACGACCCTTGCCGGCCGCGGCCTGGATCAGCCCCTGCAGGCTGTCCCGGGACAGCCGGCTGTCCTTAGGGGGTCCGCTGCCCGCCCTGCCGCCCCCAAGCTCTGCCGCCGAGTTCTTCCGGCCTTTGCCCGGGGTGGGCGCCGCGCCGCCCGTTTCCGAGTTCTTGCGCGGCTTGCCGCCGGCGCCCCCGGGCCTGGCGCGCTCCGACGCGGTCTTCAGGGTCAGCGGGAACTCCTTGAACCACTTCGCCGCCATCAGGGGGGCCGGGAGCGTCGAGGCCGCGGAGCAGACGAGCGAGGAAGCCCAGCCGAGACACCGAGTGGCGCCAGGGGCCGGGGGCCGCCGCATTCCCCGGGGCTGGGCGCTGGAGGCCGCCGCGAGGCCCCTGGCCGGGAGACGCGCGCGTCCGGCAGGGTGGGACCCCTCGGCCCGGAGCTGGACGGGCGCGGTGACGGGACCGCCGTGTCCTCTGCGCTGCACGGCTGGCGGCCGCCGGGCGCCGGGGCTTCCCCTGCTTTTCCTCCTGAGGTGGGCGAGGCCGAGCCCACGGAAGCCCCCGGCAGCCCTGCCCACACTCCCTGCGACGACGGCGGCCGCAGTGCCCGGGCGCCCGCCTCACGGTGGATGCACAGGACGGACGGACGGACGGACCGCCGGCCGCGCCCCTCCCTCGCCGGCGCCGGGAGCCCCCTCTCTGCAGAAGGGACTGTGCGGGGAGAGTGGCCTGGAGTGGCGCTCAGGGACGGCTGTCGCGGGCGCCCGCTACTTCCCTCGCTCTCCTGTCCTGCACGCGCGTCCGGGGCGCGGCCTTCCCTGCGCGCATGGAAGCAGGCTCGAGGGACGAAGGCTCGAAGCTCGGCCAGGCGCCGGCGTGGGAGCCTGTGAGGTCCGCGCAGGGACGGCCTGGGCTGCGGGGAGCGCGGGGAGGGTGACCCGGCCCCAAAGAGTCGCTGTCGGAGGAAGAGCGTGCTGGCCCAGACCGGCTCCGGACAGATGGCACCTCTAAGTGCTCTCCCCCTAGTTGGTTCTTCCACTCTCGCGCTCTCCTCAAAGCAGTTTCAACGCTTTTTGGTTAAGAAGATTAAGTGTGAACGTGACACCAAGTCTTTTCGTTTAAAACACGAAACGTGGCACTTGCTTACAAACCTTCGCTGTAAACCTGAGTACGTTGAGTCCAAAATAGTATTATTTTTTCCGGATATAGGCCAAAATACCAAGCTGGCCTGAGGCCCTGCTGTTCTTCTTTCCCTTCACCCTCTTTCCCTTTTCCCTCTCCTCAGCTACGCTCTCCTCCCTTAGGACTGTGTGCAATCCAAACGAGGATCTGTGCACTGGAGGTCTGTGCACTGGAGGACGAACTCGTGTTCCTCCTGCCGCCCGACCATATTGAACCTGGGGTGGCAAAGGCTGTGCCACCACTGCCACTTTCATGTGGTGCTGAGGATGGAACCTAGGCGAGCACTCTACCAAGAGTTATGTCTCCAGTCCTGAGCAGCTTTTGACAGACTTCAACTACTGATCTGAGAGACGAAACTTTCTCTCTTCCTCCGGTCCTCCTTTGTCTTAGCCACAAGAGTTTACAGTTTGCCTGCTGTGCCACGCTTTCTCTCAAGCTCTAATAAAGTCGTCTACGAACCTCAAAGTAAAAATAAAACAATAATACCACCCATATTCAACAGCAACAGCGAAAATCCTAAATGTGCTACGGAGACTTAGGCAGCAGGTTTGAAAGTCCAAGCTACAAGCTGCGGGAATTGGATAGCACCAGCCTCCATCAGCTTGTGGATGGTGGTTAATCAGGTGGACAAATGCAGGCTCAGCCTGACCATTCCGATGCTAAAAATTCATCAACTTAAATTGAGGTATAATTGAGATGCTACAAAATCAGCTATTTAAAGTATATACTTAAGGGATTTTTAATACACTGAAGTCTCACTCACAATCTGATTTGAAGACATAGCCACCTAATAGGTGGGGAGGTAATTCAGTTGATAGCATGCTTGGCATGCAGGCATGAGAACCCGAGTGTGAACTCCAGCACCCAAAAGAAAAACCCTGGGAATCACACTCTTGAAATCCCAGTGCTGCGGAGGCAGAGGAAAACAGGTCCCAGGACTCCACTGCCAGCTAGCCTACCCTAATAGGCAAGCCCCAAGTACATTTTCTTTTTCTTTTGGTTTTTTTGAGACAGGATTTCTCTGTATTGCTTTGGAGCATGTCCTGAACTCTGTCTGTAGACCAGGCTGGCTTTGAACTCACAGAGATTTGCCTGCCTCTGCCTCTGCCTCCTGAGTGTTGGGATTAAAGGTGCACCACCAACGCCCAGCTGCCCCAAGTCCAATTTAGAAACCTCTCAAAAAAACAAAGTAGACATTGTTTATGAAGGACATTCAAGGTTGTCTTGTGGCCTTGTGGCCTGCATACATGTGCTAACATGACCTCTACCACATTTGAATATCAACACACACACACACACACACCAAAAAAGAAAAAGAAAAAAAATATCACCATCCCAGAAAAGAAAATTTATTAGTAACTACTCCCCATTCCCCCTCCATGGACAGTGTATTCTCTGTGGTTCTCTAGTCTAGAGGAACAGAAAACACACACACACACACACTGATTTGTTGGCTTACAAAATAAAGTCTAGGTAGCCCAACAGTGGCATTCTCACATCAGAGAGGCCAAGACCCTGGTAGATGCTCAGTCCACCAGGCTGAATGTGTCACTAGCCCAGCCTGGCACAGAAGCCTGGAGGATTCTTGGAGACTCATAGTGTTGAGTCTGTGTTGGAAGCCTGGAGAAGCTAGTTTTAATACCAGCAAACAGATGCAGTAGCAAAGGCTAGATGAGCTTGCCTGCAGAGTGAAGGCAAGCAGGCAAAAGGTAAGCTTTTTCTTCCATGCCCTTTGTATCTGGGCTGCCACCAGAAGGTGCACCCACATTTAGCACCATCAAGAAAGTCCCTCAAAGGAGTGCCTGGCAGCTTGCCTTTTAGTGGGTTTCGAATCCAATCAAGTTGACAGCCGAGACTGTCCATCATACCTGCCACCATCTGTTTTGTTTTTACATATTGGACTGTCTGGAAGTTTCATGTCACTGGAATCACATAAGTGGTCTCTTCTGTCTGCCTATCCTCTCAACATCCTTTTTGATAATCTATGCACACTGCACACATGTGTACCCTTTGTGCATTTTACATTGTCCAGTAATATCCCTTTGTATGGTGTCCATGTGTAGCTGATAACATTTGGATCACCTCCACTTTTTGGCTGTTACAAAAATGTTGTGAGTATTGGTGAAAAAGCCCTCATGTGGATATATGTTTGGATTTCTCAGGACTGGAATGGCTCAATCACATGGTAACTCACTGTTTTAACTTTTTGAGAAACTGCCAAACCTTTTTTCAAACTGTCTGCATAATTTTGCACCAGCAGCATGTCAGGCTCTCCACACCCTGGATGCCTACTGGAATTGGATATTTTGACTTATAGCTGTCATAGAGCTTTTGTTTGGTATTTCTCTAGTAGCTAAAGATGTAGAGCATTAGCTAGGTGTGAGAGCACACACCTGAAGCCCCAGGACTTAGGAAGTGGAGGCAGGAGGGAAGAGTTTAAGGCCAGCCACCTGAGAGCCTATCTTAGTTATTGTTTTATGCTGTAAAGAGACATTGTGACCAGGATGATATGATATATATATATATAATAATTGGAAGCTTACTTAACAGTTTCAGGGGGTTAGTCCACTATTGTCATTGCAGAGAGCATAGCAGTAGGTAAGCAGGCATGGTGCTGGAGCTGTAGAGCTGAGTCTTGGTCTGGCATGGGCTGTTGAAGCTCTCAACGCCCACCCCAGTGACATACCTCTCCCAACAAGTACATGCCTATTCCAACAAGGCTACACCTACTCCAACAAGACCACACCTCCTAATCCTTCCCAAACAGTTCAACTAACTGCTGGCTAAACATTCAAATATGCGAGCCTATAGGGGCCATTCTCATTCAGAGACTATTTTTTAAAAAGGCATGGAACATCCTTCTGTTATTTCTATAGTTTTGGAAAAATATCTCAGGTTGTTTACTCCTTTTTGGTTTGTCTTGTTATTGACTTGTAAAGTTCTTCACATAATCTTACATTTAAAAAGCAAGCAAGGACCAAAAAGACAGCTCAGCAGGTAAAGGTTAGGAGGGTTGAGAACCAGTGTGCTAGGGGATGTTGAGGGAATGGCCAGGTTCTGGTCTCTGAGCTTTCGTGCCTCCTTTTTGGGGGTTTGTTGGGGATTAAATGAGGTTGTATAAGATTGAACTCAACATGACACCAGGCCGACCAGTGAGGCATCTTTGAAAGTTTGTGCTGAGGCCTTTGCCTAGGGGAATCTTGGTTCCTGCCTGAGTCTAAAAGACAATCACATTCCATAGATCAACAGGAAGTTTGGATGGACAGTCTACATTCAGTTTTCCCCATAAACTCCTTCATTCGCTCCTGTGTTTTCTTAGCTGCTTTTAGCTTTATTTAGATTTATTTGCCCACAAGGCAGTTGTTTCTTCCCACATCTGGGAACAGTTTAGAGAGAAGTGTTTCTCTTTAATATTTAATATTTTAGCTGGGTGTGGTGGTGCATGCAAATAATCCCAAAACATGGAAGGTAGAGGATTGGAATATCAAGACTTAAGACAAACTTTCTGCTACCTAGTGAGTTCAAGGCCATCCTGCATCTCAAAACAAAACAAAACAGAACAAATCAACAGAGGTAATACTAATATTGATACTAATGTTAATACTAATGTTAATACTAATTTTAAGCCAGGTGTTAATTCCAGCTCTGTGGTGGCAGAGGCAGATAAGTCTCTGTGAGTTTGAGGCCAGCCTGGTCTACACATGAGTTCCAGGTTAGCCAAAGGTACATAGTGAGACTTTGTCTTTAAAATTAGTAAATAAACAAAAAATAACTAGATTAATTGTAGGAATTAAGAGGTTGGCTAAGAATTCACTTCCCCCTGCTGCCCTCAGGGCAGGAGCTATAACCACAAGAAAACAAAAGACATGTTTTCTAATGCAAAATGCTAATGCTCCTTTGGCTTCCATAACCCTGAAAACACCCTAACTGGTCCTTGGAACCTGAGATGACTAACCACCCTCCTCTGTTTCCCTCTCCTCCATCTGGTGCTGTGGTATATAAGCCAGCCCCAGGAGTAAAATAAAAAATTAGAAAGAGCCTTCTTAACATGGAGCAAGAGTCCTGTGTTGTTAATCCCAACACCCTCTGCAGATTCTCGGTCCCCTGCCGTGCAGCCATGGCAATTAATAATAATGTTTTAATCTGTATTTCTCCTAAAGCAAAGGAAAAGTAGCACTGCAGAATCTGTTTGACAGCTTTTTCATCTCTAGGAGCAGAATGAGGGTTGTGGAGTGTCAGGCCTGAGTTCTTCAGCTGGTGACCATAAGCTTTGATTTGCCACCCACTTGATCTAGCTCGGGTGTAGCTCAGTGACAGGGTATGGGCAGACAGGTCTCTGTTCGTTCGAGGTCAGCCTGGTCTTCCCACTGGCATTCCTCAGTGTGTAAGCATCAAATTAGTACATCTTTGGGTCATATCATGTTAGAATTTCAGTTTTTCTAAAATGCTTTTTACCAGGGAGAATGTAGCTCAGTGGTAGAACACATATCCTGCATGTAGGGAGTCCTAGGTTTAAACTCCTATAGCTAAGAAACAAAATGGTTTTGGGGTTGCTGTCTCTCTCTCTGTCTTCCTTCCACCTTCCCTCCTTTCCTCCCTTCTTCCCTCCCTCCATTCCTTCCTTCCTTTGAGGCAGGGTTTCTCTGTGTAGTTTTGGAGCCTGTCCTGGAACTCACAGAGATCCACCTGCCTGTGCCTCCTGAGTGCTAGGATTGAAGGCATGCACCACCAGCACACTGGACCCTTGAGTTTCATTTATAAGTATGACTATGACAGGTTTCCAGAACTTTTGGAACGTCCCTAAATTACTCCTGCCATTTGGGTATGTGTTTATGTGAAGTATCATTTTCAGCATTAATGATTATAAAATCAAAATATTGATCAACTATGAAAAGCACTGGGGATGCTGTGCTCCTTTGGTTTCAAATATTCATTCCAGATTTAATACTTTATGCAAAACCAAGCACATCCATCTCATTACCATGCAAATTTGCTTTAATCAGTTTTTTAAAAAAATATTTGTTAATTTTTTTTGTGTATGGGTGTGGGTGCACATGTGACAGAGGACAATTGTGGGACCGAGTTTTCTTCCACAGTGTAAGATCTTGGCATCAAACTCAGGTTGTGAAACTCGGCAGTAAATGCTGAGCCATCTCCCAGGCCTGAATTTCATTCTCAGCCAATGGTAAAATTGAGCTGGTTCAATGGTTCAGTGGGTGAAAGTGAAAATCCAGCAACTGGATCTGGTCCCCAGAACCCACTGGGGAAGGGGAGAACTGTCCCTAACCCTGTCTTCTGACTTCCACTGCTTGCTGTAGCAAGAATGAATGCATCTGCAACTCAGATGCACCACACACACAATAATAAAATGAAAACAAAGTTTTAGGAACTACAAATAGCTAAACTATGAACCAAAGAATTGTTTTAAAATAAATTTCTTTATGATTTACTATAACGAGCCCTTGGTTTTGTTCTAATCTGTTTCATTTCGTTTTCTTGAGACAGGGTTTCTCTGTGTAGCCATAACTGTCCTGGAACTCACTCTATAGACCAGGCTGGCCTGGAACTCACAGAGATCTGTCTACCTCTGCCTCCCGAGTGCTGGGATTAAAGAAAAACATCACCACCGCCTGGCTACTTCTTTGATTTATATACCTGTTTAACATACCTATTTGTGCTGGTTAGTTTTATGTCAGTTTGATACAAGTAAGTAATCATTTAGGAAGAGGAAACCTCAATTTAAAAAGTGCCCTCACCAAGCTAGGCGGAGGTAGCCCACACCTTCTATCCCAGCACTCAGGAGGCAGAGAAAGGCGGATCTCTATGAGTCTGAGGCCAGCTTAGTCTATATAGAGTGAGTTCCAGGACAGCCAGGGATACACAGAGAAACCCTGTCTTGAAAAAAAAAAAAAAAAATTCCTCACTGAATCAGTCTGTGTTACAAGCCTATATGGCACAGTTTCTTGATTGGTAATTGATGTGGGAGGGTCCAGCCCATTGTGAGTGGTATCATCCCTGGGCTGGTAGTCCTGGGTGCTATAAGAAAGCAGGCTGTGCAAGCCCCGATGAGCAAGTACCCTCCATGGCCTCCGCATCAGCTCCTTCCTCCAGGTTCCTGTCTATCTTCCCTCAGTGATGGACAGTTACCTGGAACTGTAAGAGATACAAACCCTTTCCTCCCCAAGTTGTTTATGGTCATGGTGCTTCACCACAGGGGTAGAAATCCAGCAAAGGCACTCATATAGCTGGAACCATGCACAATTTTCCTCCAGCAAAGACACCCATATAATTGGAACCATGCATAATTTTCCTACAGCAAAGACACCTATATAACCAGAATCACGCACAATTTTCCTAGACAAAAAAGGATTTTAGAAACCTTGACTATGATATGGATGTGTTAATTCCCATCTTATAAAAAAATACATACTCAAGGTCTCTGCTTGGAGCTGCAGGTCTAGCTTCACAGGCCAACCATTGTGCAGAAGTATGTGGAGCTTAAAAGTTGTTCAGGGTTTGGGGCACTGAAGAGAAAACTCAGCAGTTAACAATACTGGCTGCTCTTGCAGAGGACCCAGGTGCGATTCCTGTACTCACACTGCAGCTCACAACTGTCTGTAACTCCACTTCTATGAAATTTAATGACCTCTGCAGGCCCTGCAGGCATAAAGGGTACTGCAGGCATGAGGAACGGGTAAATACCTGCAAGGCAAACACTACCATACACATAAAATAAAGATAAATCAGCAAGGTGCCTTTAATCCCAGCTCTAGGGAGGCAGAGGCAGGAGGATCTCTGAGTTTGAGCCAGCCTAGTCTACAGAAAGAGTTTCAGGACAGCCAGGGTTATGCAGAGAAACCCTGTCTCAAAACAAACAAACAAACAAACAAACAAAACAAAAACAAAAAACAAACAAACAAAACAAAACAAAAAAGCCCCAAACCAAAAAAAAGGCCCTAACAACAAAAACTTTTTTTTTTTTTAACTTAAAAGTTGTTCACAAGATCTGTGTTACTTTTCTTTGTGGCTAGTAGCATATTGTTCCCGGGAACTGTGTTGTCTTTCTTTGTTGCTTGTAACATAGTAGCTTAAATAACCCATGTTATTTTATGATTCTTCAGGTTAAACTTCTGATGTGCATCCCTCTGGGCTGTCAACAGGGCTGACACAAGGGGGCCAGAATCCAAGAATCCCATCCCTTGCCTTTTCCAGCGTCTTCAGGCTGCCCTCACTCCTTGGCTGGTGGACGCTCTTTTCTCACTGGCATTTTACATTAATCTTATTATAGTCTTCAATTTAAAAAAAAATCTTCTTCCGTTTTCAAGGACCACCTGATTATATTGGGCCCATCTTGAGAATTTTTAAAGAGTGCTTAGTACTCTCCACTGGGCCCTACCTCTTAGAGGCTCTACTACCTCCCAATACCATGAACATTTAGGAGATAAACCATACCAAGCTGTAGCAAGCCCACGTTGCATGCCAGACCTGGTTAAGAATTTCCTGGCCTCCATGCTCCCTGTCCAGACAGCTACACTCCATCTTTAGTCCCACTTGCTCCGCCTTCTTCCACAGCTTGCTCTGGTTTTGCATTATCATCAGTCCTGTTGCAGGAAATGCTAAGTGTTTCATTGGTGTGATTTCATTGTTACTGTTGTAACAGTAGGAAAGGGGGTAAAGCCCTAGACTTGCAGATCAGGCAGCCAAATTCCTAAAAGGTCAAATCTCTCAGTCAAAGACAAACAGCATTCAAGTAGTCAACTTAAAGTTGAGCTTAGGTCCAATTGTCCCTAAGTCCTATGTTCTTTGCCCTGTACCGAACTGCAAAATTGATTAGACATGGAGACGACTCACCATGATACAGGGGGACCTCCTGTGTTTTATTTGACAAAGGGAAGAAAATGGGGGATGGGGTGCATGGAGAGCTGGCTCAGTGGTAGTGGCAAGGTGGCTCAATGGTTAAGCGCAGGCACTGATTTTACAGAGGACTCTAGTTCAGTTCTCGGATCCCAGGTCAAGTAGCTGTAACTCCAGCTGTAGGGGAGCTACTGCCATCTTCTGGCTTTTGAGGGTACTGCACCCTCACTCACTGTCCTGCTCATAGCAATTTATAGAAGAAAGGGTTTATTTGGGGCTTACTGTGTGTACCAAAGAGCTAGGTACCCACCATCACCATGGTCGGGAGCATGGTGATGGAGCAGCAGCTGGAGGCAGAGAGTGCTCTAAGGGTGTCCGGAGGAGGTTTTTGAAACCTCAAAGCCCTCTCCCAATGACACACCTCCTCCAACAAGGCCACACCTCCATAATCCTTCCCAAATGTCCGCAACGGGGGGGCCCACGTATTTAAATGCCCGAGACTTGTGGGGACTCTCTCATTCAAGCCACTACATGCACATATGAACACACAGATATACCGGCACAGACAGATTAGGAAAAAAAAATATTACTGTACAGTTCAGTGTTTTGTGTTTTGTTTTGTTTTGTTTTTGTTTGTTTTTTTTTTTTTATGGTGAGAAAGTGTATATTTGGAATTAGCCAGCTGGACTCAGTTTACATGATCCCAATTTTGTTAAAACAGCCAGAGCATCATAATCGGGAGCCAACCGAACATACGCCTTCTTCTCTGCGTCAGGCCTTATGAGGGTGTTGACTTTGGCCACATCCATGTCATAGAGTTTCTTCACAGCCTGTGTGATCTGGTGCTTGTTGGCCTTGACGTCCACAATGAACACAAGTGCGTTGTTGTCGTCTATCTTCTTCATGGCTGACTCAGTGGTCAGGAGGAATTTGATGATGGCATAGTGGTCAAGCTTGTTTCTCCAGGGCGCGCTCTTCCGAGGGTCTTGGGCCGCCCGGAAGGTGGGTGACATGCCCTGAGGATCTTCAGCATGGCCATGGATGCCTTTCAGCACAGCCCTCTTGGCTTTGAAGGCCTTGGCTTTGGCTTTGGGAGGGGCAGGAGCTTCCTTCTTTGCTTTCGAAGCCATCTTGGCAAAAAAGCATGGTGGTTTTGTTGTTGTTGTTTTTTGTTTTTTTGTTTGTTTGTTTTTAATGAATTCACAAGAAGTGATATGTTCATAAGCTTCACCAAAGCATTTTATTAATTCAAAAATAAGCCCTGGATCTTAAACAGCCCCTCTTCTCTCGTCCTCCCAGCCCCTAGCAAAGCCGCAGTCTACTCTTTGTGCACACAGGAATCAACTTTCATGTGTGTTTAAGAGTTTGGGTTATTGTGGACTCTTCACAGAAACAGATCAGACAATTCTCAGAACTGTGTTCTTCCACTTTTTGTGGTGGTTTAGGGGTCATCCATGGGGTAGTGTAACACACCATTCCTACTTATGGCTGAACAGTATTTCCTTGTATGGATAGATTGCACTTTGTATACCTGTCAGGTGAACTTGTAGGTCATTTCCAGTTTCTGGTTATCATGAATAATGTGCATGTGAACATCAGTATATAACTTGAAACATTTAAGAAGATGTTCTGTGTTTGGGTGTTTTGCCTGCGTGTATGTATTTGTAGCACACAAATATCTGGTGCTCTCCGAAGTCAGAAGAAGGAATAAGACCTCCTGAAACTGAAGTTACAGGTTGTTGTGAACTGTCTGTGGGTGCTGGGAAATGGTGCCTCGTGAGCAGCCAGGTGCTCTGAACTCTGACTTTCTGGGACATTCCATGCTTAACTTTGCAAATTCTCTTTCCCTAATAGTTAAACCATTTATATGACGAGATTTCTTCCTTACCCAAACTTGCTCTTGCCTATGTGTCAATATTAATAATATTACTATTCTGAGTCAAGTTAAAAACAAAGCAAAACTACTTCTTGCCAGATTAAAGGTGGCACACACCTTTAATCCCAGCAGGCAGAGGCAGGTGGATCTTTGTGAGTTCAAGGCCAGCCTGGTCTACAGTGAGTGCCAGAACAGCCAGGGTTACACAGAAAAACCTTATCTTGAAAAACTTAAAATAAATAATAAATAAATGAATAAATAAATAAATTTTAAAAAACCTACTTTTCAGGGAAGCTGGGCAGGAATCTTTCCAAGGTACACCATTGTTAGGATCCTTTATTGTATGTTCAATTGATTTTATTTCTCTTCCTCACCCCTTTCTCTGTATTATCTTCCTCCCCCTCCCTAATTAGAACCTTCCTGTTTCCCCCATCCCCTCTTCAGATCATCCCTCTTCTTTTCAAGAGGCCTAAGAAAAATGTTGGGAGATTCAATGAATTCAACCTTTAGCTAAGTTCTCAGATCTGGAAAAATATACAATATTAATTAAATATTAGCAGTGTGTTGTCTAGGGTTACAACCTCTTGTGTTGAGCTTTCCCTTCCTAGCTAACCGTGCACACTCTGTCCTGGCCTTCTGTCAGCCTGTCTTGTTGGGCACTGCTGTTGTATTCCTGATGCAGGATGTTTTGTGGGGACAAGCCAGCACCCTGTTAAGTGATTGTGCTTTGTACTTGTCACCCCTGTAAGTCAGGAAACAATTCCTTGCATGCACCTCATCTCTAATGTGGGAGAAGTAACTTAACAAGTTCAAGATCTTGCTCCGAGGGTATAGTGTAGTTCTAAATTAACGAGCTTACTCCGCTTTTGAAATAACAGCCCAAAGTTCCCTTGGCTGAGCTCATTTAACATATCCCTCTCAGTTCTGGTCACTAAATTCCATCTTGAGTCAGGATGAAAAGAATGAATAGTCCGGTTTTAAAATGACTCCATTAAAAAAATTGGTGTGTATGTAGTATGTATCCATGTGCATGTATGTTCACATGTGTGTGGGTGTACATGTGTGTACAAGTGCATGTCTGGATGTGCACACCTGAGGTTTATAGCAGGGGTCTTTCTTGGTTGTTTTCCACTTTACCTTTGAGGCAGCGTCTCTCAGTTGGACACAGAGCTCTCTGAACCTGGGCTAGCTGCCCATCTTGCTCCTCAGATCCTGTCTCCCTGCTCTTAGGGAACATAGGAGTTACAGGTGGGCCACCCACCAAGTACTGTAACCACTGAGCCATCTCCCCCACCCAAGATGACTACACTTAAACTGCCAAAGACTCAGGACAATTCTGAGCAAAGCGAAAATTTCCACCATTTAAAGAAGGTTTTATTTGGCACTCAAGGGAAGAGCAAAATAGAGACAACCACAGAAACTCATGCAGAACTTTTAACTATTCCCATTGAGAGAAATGATAGCACTGTTTTCTCGGATGCTCTAAAATGCCCTAAATATATCCTTTAGAAAATTACATTGAAATTTTATTTTAAAACTCTCTCACTTTCTCGATTTCCCTCTAGGACCCTCTCCCCCCCCTCTCTCTCCCTCTTCCTCCCTCTCTCCCTCCCTCTCTCTCTCTCTGTGTAACTTTCAGGAGTTGGTTTTTCTCTTTCTACCATGTGGGTCCTGGGGACCGAACTCTGAACTCAGGTTGTCAGGCTTGGTGGTAAGCACCTTTATCCACTGAGACATCTCACAGGCCTCCTTTGGAAACTTAGAGAACCTGGGATATCACCGTCCATGTGGGACTCCTTGAAAGCATTTGGGTTTCAATTAGTTACACCGGTGAATCGCCAGACACCATTCATGTAATAGGTCCATTTACAGACCGTAAATTCATTGTTTAGATTGGCAGAATTTGTAGAGAAGAAAATTACAGCTTTCACAGCAAGGTCAAGGAGTCTCTTTGGAGGAAAGCAGCTACCAGGGACAGATCTTCACGGAGTGTGAGGCTGGTGTCACACAGTGTGATTGTTAGTGGCAGGTGGACGTAGGGAGGTGTCTGAGCTGAGGTGGTAGGCACAGAATGGAAGTCAGTGCTTTTTGCTAGGCTAGAATTGTTATCTGTTGGATTACGTGGACAGAAGCTCCTGTCTGTTTCTTTGTGTTCTAGCCCGAAGCAGGTGATCTCACTGGTAGCATTATTATGGAGAAAAGCTATTGTGCTCACACGATTCTAGTGGTAGATGTCACTGTCCTAGATGCTATCTTGACCATGTCTTCAGTCACATTTGGGGTCCTTGTTTTGACTCTGCTTACTTTTTTTTTCTTGTTTGGACAAAACAAGGTATTTTTGAGTCAGCTACTGAAATTTACCTATTGATAAGAAATTATTGTTCGCTTTCTTAGTCAACACAGGAAATGGCTTTTCCAAGGTACACACTGAAGTGTGTAAGGGTTTGACACAATATCTGATCCTTCCAGCGAGCATTGGTGGAGAGAGATAAAGCAGTTACAGCAAAAGTGAAGGTTGGGGACAGGTTGTGAGTTCATGGTCCTGTGTGTGCATGGAATGTCTCACAACAAGCCATTAGCTGTATCTGTTCACTTCCGTCAGGTGCTCTGCTCGCTGGCTCAGGCCATGGTGTCTTTCACCTGAGTAAACATGGCCTCCTAGCTCCTTTTCCTTCTCCCTCCCGCCATGTTTTGATGTAGCAGCTCCTCAGAGCTCCAGCAGCTGCTGTTCTCACAGAGAGTGAGGGGACGTGAACTTCTCCTCTGCCCACGGTCTTCTCTGCCTACTGTAGTCACTCTGTGTACACACCTGCCTCAGGGTGTTCCTGTGCTGTTCCTAGAACTCACCTTCTCAGGAGGCCCAGGCTCTGCTGCTCTTCTGCCCTCTCCTGCTTTGGATCCATCTTCAACACATTACTGCACACTTGGCATGTACTTTACTTATTCCTCTCTTTTGTCACTGTCTTATTTATTTTTGCAAGTGTGTACGTGTGTGTGTGTGTGTGTGTGTGTGTGTGTGTGTGTGTGTGTGTGTGTATGTGGGCGCACGGCGTGCACATTTGTATGGAGATCAGAGGGACAGCCAGTGGAGGTCTATTCTCCTACTCTGTGGGTCCCAGGGATCAAACTCAGGTCGCCAGGCTGGGCAGCCAGCGCCCTTCTCCACCCTTCTCCATGGGACTGTCTCATCCATGACTGCTTGTTCTCCTGCTTGGTCCCCATCTACTGCAAAGAAGCTCAGGGATGAAAAGGTTTTGCTTCCTGGTGGACTCTCCTTTCCTTGGGGGGGGGTTAATAACAGTTTTTATTTGGCTTGATTTGCTAGTCTAGAACTGGACTGCAGTTTGGATTACTCATGACTCTGAACACTCAGCTACCTTCTCTTTTGGGCTCCACAAAAACCATTTTTTAGGTACAAAGTTGGCATGTATTTGTTGCACGAGATGAAGCAGATAGCGAGTGCACAGGCCTCACATAAGGACTTTAGTGTTGTAGGAGAATAAGGAGGGGAGGCGGGGCCGAGGTTCTTTGGAGAGTGAGACCATGAAGAGCTCATTTATTGGAGAGTTGGTGCAGGGCAGAGGAGACATCGTAGGAGCTTGAGAAGACCCGGGGGTTATCAGATGAGCAGAAAGAGGGCATGGGAAGCGCATGTGGTTTTGTCTGGGGAAAGTGGAAGCCTGGTGGTGAGTGATAGGTCACAGGAATGCTGGGCAGAGGATAGAAAGGACATCATGTAGGGCTGGGCAGCGTAGAGAACAGAGTTGAGGGTCACAGGAGGGTGGTAGGATGGTGGGGTCTGCAGAGTGCAACCCCGGGACTGGGGGTTGGAGAGCTAGAAGTGTGACCCGGTAGATGGTGGGAGGTCAAAGAGGGCAGGACTCCAAGTTGGCATTGGGGGTGGCAGTGACAGGCTAGCCTGGGCCCTAGACAGTGGCCCTGAGAGGAGGAGCAGGCAGCTTCCGTTCTCTGCCTTCCAGTCTGGCTCATTTTAAAAATCATTTCAGTCCCAGGTAGTACTTTTGCGGCTTTATGAGTCTTCCACAGTGTGTTTGCTCACCATATACATTCCTGGGCTTACAAGTATTGGACCAGTGTCAGTCTGCAAAGGCGTTCATTTCAGTTGGTTTGAACTACTACTTCCCCGGGGCTTTGTTGCCTCAAACAGTTTCGGCGAAGTTCCTTATATGCATGTCTGGGCACATGTGTGTGCTTAGGGTTTGTACCTGGGTGTGGGACCTCAGAGTCACACAG